AGAAAAGGAGAAAAGAAAAAAAAAAGAAAAAAGAAAAGAAAAGAAGCATAGAAATAAAAAAGAATTGGTGAATAAAGAAAAATTTTCCCACAAAACCTACTATGAGTAGGAAATGTAATTAGTTTATGGGTAGAAAAATAAATAGGTAGATAAGGTAAATGGTTTTATTTTTGTGGGTAATTGTGTCAAACCCCCTTATTTTCTATTAGGTGCGCCATTTTGATGGCTTTTTTCAACTACCACACGCTTCCAAGCGAGTATCTGCATATGTTATGCCAGGTCAGTGATGAGGGGGTTTAATACGAGAGGCAATATAACTCAGGAGGGTTTTGGGATACTGAATATTTTAAGCAGAAAATTGACAAAAATATGATAATTTAAGGGGGTTTTAGGGTATTAACCCAACCAATTCAAACTAAACCATAGTAGAATTTTTTTCTCCGATTTGACTCATGCACCCCTAGTGCCAACAACACCAAGGAACTAAACCCATCTCTCTCTCTGCCACTTAACACGTTGCGTGGCAATTATAGACTCCAAAAATTGTAGTTCAAGGGGTAATGTAAACTTTAAGTATGCAACTTATAAACTGAGTGACATCTAGGGTCTTTTTTGAAGAAAAAAAATCTAGTGCATTTTAAATTTTATTAATATTTTAAGACTAAAAAAAAGAAGAGAAAGAAACCACAGGAATTGCAAAACAGTAATTAAATAACGAAAACTTCTTCCTTTGAATCAGTCACTTTCAACATATCACGTATAACGGAATCTAGTCCTTACAAGATTATAAAAAGACAACCATTGAAAAAATTTCCTAGTGCTATGGTGAAGAGGCTTTTCAGGTAAAAATAAAAAATAAAAATGGCTGACTTACCTCAGTACGACTTTAATGAAAAGCCATCTTCTTCATCATCATCCAATAAAATGCCATTGTTTACACTATTGGCAAGGGTGGTAACCTTAGGCTCTTGTGTAATTTCATTAATTGTATTGCAGAATAATGAAATTACTTGGATGTACAATGGTATGGAAGGTGGGAGATTTAACTACGAGGGTTACAGTTCTTACAGGTAATTAAGCTTCCTAATATCCTTATTCTCCTCAATCTCAATCATCACACACTTACAGTGGCCAATTGATTAAACAAAAAAGAACGAAATAATTATATAAGATCACGAAATTTTAGTAAATCTATCTGGCACGAATTTAAATATAATGGAGTCAGTGGTTTCAGTATTGGATGCCTAAATATATAATGTGTTCTTAACACCTACATTCTTGAACAATCAGCAATTTAGCGTATATTTTGTTAAGGAGATTATAAGTTGGAATTTAGCGTATATTTTGGGAATCTGATAAAATTAGTCTAGAATAGACATTTGTTCGTTTGTTTCTTTTTTTTTTTTTTTTTTTCTTTTTGTGAGTGTTTTCCCATAAAGCTTTTTCCGGAAATTATATCTAGCTACTTTCCATTCAAAACTTTTGTTTTCTCCAAGAAAACTTTCTCCCCTCATTGTTTAGTGCGCTGCGGTTCATGCAATTGCTATGTTAATGTTATGCTTATATTTCGATAATTAATATTCCCTTTCTTGGTCTTCGTTTGAGTTGATCAGTTAGTCACCTTTTAACGAATTTGTTTGTTGCAATGATAAAATTAAAGGAATATTAGAAATGCTCAAGCTTAAGTTTCGTTGAAGATTTAGTGCCCGTTTGGACATAAAATTTGATGGAAGATTTTTCCAAAAAAAAATCATTTTTTTTCGAAATCAGCGTTTGTTCATAAAATTTTCATTTTTCACTTAAAGATACATTTTGGAAATTTTCGAAAATTTGAAAAAAAAAAAACAAAAAATTATTTTTTAAAATTTTCACTCACAAAATTTCAAAAACAACCCAAACTGAAATTTAGGTCCAAATACAACTCTAAATTTCAAATACCATTTTTTTGAATTTTACAATTCTTATGTCCAAACGCCTACTTAGACTGATTTTGCGTTTCAAATTTTAGAAATGACGCATAAAGAAAAGTTGGAATTTTTTAACTTAATTGGTACAAATTTCATAAAATACTATATTATAAGATCATACAGCTTATTTTGCACGGAAATTATTTAAAATAGTGTTAATGATGATGATTATTGCTTATTTATACAGGTACATGTTTGGTGTACTGGTAGCAGGAATTGTTTACACTATATTGCATATTCCCTTCGCAGCATATTACCTGGTAGCAAAGAAACGTCTCGTAGACCACCAGGGCTTTCGCATGCTTGAATTTTTTGGTGACAAGGTTAACTACTAAATTCTTCCTTTTCATTTTTTTCCAGATATTGAAAGCATTAATATGTGCTCACAATGTTTTAAAACATGCCTATTTTCCTAAAATGTTTAACATTTTATATGTTGATCGCATAAAATTGCTTTTATCATATCACCATTTTAAAGATAATTAAATCCAACTATCCATGGACTAGTAACCCGTAAAGTGACGCAAACAATCGTTTATTGTAAGTTAAATTACGCTGATGATATAAAAATTAAATTAAGATAAATTTATTCTTAAATTATACTCTCTCTGTTTCAGTTTATGTGAACCTATTTCCTTTTAGGTCCATTCCAAAAGAATGACATCTTTCTAAATTTGATAACAATTTAGCTTAAACTTATAATTTTACCCTTAATGAGAAGCTTTTATAACCACACAAATACTCTGGCCCCTTTTTGGCTTGTTTAGAGCCACAAATTCTAAAAATCTTCATTTTTTCTTGAATTTTGTGCCCAATAAAAAAGGTTCACATAAATTGAAACGGAGGGAGTATTAAACAATGAGTAGTCATTACCAGATTTTTACTGCAATATTTTTTTTTGTTGTTGTGTGTTTTGACAAGGATTTGTCAATCACTAGATTGAGATGCATGCAACATCACATAAACTATTACTCCCTCAGTTCACTTTTAGTTGTTAAGTATTCTAAAAATAAATTTTTATTTTTACTTATCATTTTTCGTATATCAAGTGAAAAGTAATTTTTTTTTCCTGTTTTGCCCTTAGCATTAATTACTCATTTCAAATTATTTTTCAATTTATTAAAACTATACATCAATTAATATGGATATTATGGTAAATTATGTACTTTATTTATTACTATTTCTTAAGGAGCGTGCAAAGTCCAAAGTGGACAAGCAAAAGTGAACGAATTCAACTTAGTTGGATTTTATGCGGATCATATTAGCGGTATTGGCAACTGGAGCTGGAGCAGCACTAGGTGCAACAGTGGAATTATCAAAAGCTCAGTTCCCAGATTATTATTCAAAACAGATGCATAACTTCTTGTCGGTGATGTATGCCCCTAGTACACTTCTTGTAGCTGCATTTGTTAGCTCTGGAATTTCGTCTGTCCTCTCATCTTTGAATCTCCACAAAAGTGATGAAGACTAAAAAAAAGTAGATCTTTTCACGACAAACTAAAGAAATATTCAAAATATTGTACCCAAATTTTGGGGTGTTGTATGTTACTCTTAATTTGTGGTGTGGATATCTTCATATCTTAGGTTTACTAGTTAAATTAGTTAGTAATTTTTGTGGAGAATATCAACTCAGCTTTATGTGGTCTGTAAGTTGAAGATTTTAGTTTATGTTTCTTTGTACTACTGGTTGAGATTCAAATTCTCATATGCAATATATGTCATAGATTCTCATGGTCCTTGTGTTATGGATCTTATAGTCATGGGCCTCACTGTCGTAGCCCAAACCCATGTCATGTATTATCGTTAAAATAATACGCCCTAGCCAGTTTTTGGAATGGTCATTCAAAAATAGCCAGTATTTGCAAAGTCATTGAAAAATAGCCACTATTTTACTGCAACAAGGACCGGTCCAGCATAATATACTGAAGATCGATGCACCTGTATATGAACTTCCAGCATATTATGCTGGAACTCCAACACGCGGAAAGTTCCAGCATAATATACTAGAGATTGGAGCACATGTGTATGAACTTCCAGCATATTATGCTGGAACTCCAACACGCGGAAAGTTCCAGCATAATATACTAGAGATTGGAGCACATGTGTATGAACTTCCAGCATATTATACTGGACAGGTATATTATACTGGAACTCCAGTATATTATGCTAGAGTTCCAATATACTTATGTTGGAATTTCATTATAATATGCTGGAGTTCCAGTATACTTATGCTGGAATTTCAGTATATTATGCTAGAGTATTTTCCAGATTTTGAATAGTGTTTTCGTTCAAATTTATCTTTACATGTAAAGTGGTTAAATTTCGATTACTTTTGAAACTGTGGCTATTTTTAAATGACAACTTGTAAATCTGGCTATTTTTGAATTTCTCCCTGTATTATCTGCCTAAGGTGTTATATACGGGGGAAGTGCACGATTAGCCACTAATAACACATGTATTTACTTTTAAGCCACTGTTTAAAATGTCTTTTGTCTTTAGCCATTGCTTTAATAAATTTTAACTGCCCTGACAAAAATACCCTTATGCTCATGTCCTTAACTTTTGAACTTAATTTCAGGACTACATGTCCTTAACTTTTGAACTTGAAACTCTAAGTTTAGAACTACATGTCCTTAACTTTTGAACTTGAAACTCTAAGTTTAGAACTACATGTCCTTAATTTTTGAACTTAACTTCAGGACTACATGTCCTTAACTTTTGAGCTTGTTAGTCTAAGTTCATGACCTATTGTCCTTAACTTTTGGGGTTCTTATCCTAAGTTCAGGACCTATTTTCCTTAACTTTTGAGCTTGTTAGTCTAAGTTCATGACCTATTGTCCTTAACTTTTGGGGTTCTTATCCTAAGTTCAGGACCTATTTTCCTTAACTTTTGAGCTTGTTAGTCTAAGTTCAGGACTTCAGGACCTATTGTCCTTAACTTTTGAGCTTGTTAGTCTAAGTTCAGGACTTCAGGACCTATTGTCCTTAACTTTTGAGCTTGTTAATTTAAGTTCAGGACCTATTGTCTTTAACTTTTGGGCTTCTTAGCCTAATTTCAGACCTATTGTCCTAACTTTTGAACTTGTAACTGTAAGTTCAGGACCTATTGTCCTTAACTTTTGAAATCTTAGTTTCCATGCCAATAATTCCAAGATCTTTGATTAACACGTAGAGACTTAGATATTTGTAATTAGAGTCAAAAAAGTGAAAACTCAAATTGATCAATTCTCGTTCAAATGGTCTAACACATTCCGTTGTGCACATTTGCCTTTTTATTTAAATGTCAATAAAAATGACATTCTGATAGAAAGAAAAGCGTAATGAAAAAAAGGGTAAAAATGTCTCGTGGAAAGAAAACGAAATTGAAACTAGGATATCTCCGGGAAAGAAAACGAAAAATGAGTGGGTATCGAACTTGAGAGAGAAGCAAGGATTTGGGAAGAAAAGCAATGGAAGAAGGGTAAAAATATCTTTTCATATTAATTTTAATAGAGTAGTGACTATTTTTGCTCAACATTAGAATTGCTCGATAAAAAATAAATACCACCTTAAATAGTGACTACCCCACGCCATTTCTACGTTATATACACTCCTTCTTCCGTCGAGTATTATATTCACATGAATTTGTTGGGCCTGCCATGTCCACAATTAGTTGTTGAAGTTCTTGTTTATGTGGGAGAAATTCAAAAATAGCCAGATTTACAACTGATCGTTCAAAAATAGTCCAGTTTCAAAAGTAATCAAAATTTAGTCACTTTTCATGTAAAGATAATTCTAAGCGAAAACACTGTTCAAAACCCAGAAAATACGCCAGTATATTATGCTGGAGTTCCAAGATAAGTATGTTGGAACTCCAACATAATATGATGGAGTTCCAGCATAAGTACACTAGAACTTCAGCATAATATATTGGAGTTCTAGCAAGTATATCGGTCCAGCATAATATATTGGAGTTTGGAGCACCGGTGCTCCAGTCTCCAGTATATTATACTGGAGCCAGCAAAGTATATCGGTCCAGCATAATATGCTGGAGTTCATATACAGGTGCACCGAACTCCAGTATATTATGTTGGACCGGTCTATTGCAGCAAAATAGTGGCTATTTTTCATTGACTTGGTAAACGCTGGCTATTTTTGAATGACCAATCCGAAAACTGGCTATACCGTGCTATTTTTACTGTTTATGTGGCAGGCCACATCGCGACAGAAGGAGAGCATTAGTTATGGGTTCCAAACGAACTCAATAGCTTTTGCATAAATTATGTATTTGTATTAAAAAATCTAAAAAATATGTATAAATATTAAATTGCGATTTCATTAATTAAAACAAGTTATGAATTAAATGACAAACTCAGAACCGATGAATTTTAAATTCTAATTTCGCCTTTGATCACACACTGTTTGTCAAATATGGTCTATCATTGTAGCTAATGCGAAGCACCGCTACACATTTCATCTAATTAGTTTCTGGACACGTGGGGCAGAGAGGTTGTTTCCAATAGACCATCGAGATCCTTCCCTCCAAGAACTTCCCATCTTGCTCTTGGGAAGACTTGAACTCACAACCTCTTGATTGGAAGTAGAGGTTACTTACCATCAGAGCAACCCTCTTGTCTTAAATACAACTTAAATGTTTATACAACTTATATTATATACAAAAAGTTATTTGTAGTTTGTTCCATATTTAAGTTTTTTTTATCCTTTCAAATTTGATTTAAAATAAGTGTCATTTTAGGACAAGAAGAACTAATTGAAAATTTTAGTAACTCGGTTGGTTGATTACCTGATTTGTATAACTTTCTAAAAAGTCTTCCCATGTTTGAGGAGTGATAAAGAATAATTTAGTTAAATAATTCTTATAATTTAATGCAAAATAATTTTTTAAATGGGTGTGACGCCTACATTGATAGGAGAGTATTATTTATGGAGTGCAAAAACGTTATTGGTAATTTGTGTCTCATTTAATATTTCTTACATGTATTTAATACATGAAATTTATCGTTAGTATAATTAAAATTTTAGGTTTACTGTAAGAACGCAATTATGATCTTTTAATTGTTTATGAATGTACAAAAGAATTTGAAACGATTAAGAAAATTCTCCTTATGTATCCCATATTCTTTCATTTAGTATATGAAATGGGTGGTGCAATGCAAGGCGATTCTGTGTTTGACAAAGTGAATGCTTGATTGTCTTACTCCCATAAAAAATATAATAAGTAAATAGTTAGCTTGATTGTGATTCTGGACTAAGTTGTGGCCTATTGTTGTCTTTATATTGTGTGTTTGGGGCTCAATGTTGTTCCTTTTGTTTTGGAACTCATTAGCTAATGAGAAGATTCTATATAATCCTTGAGTGGATTTATATGGAAATATATGGTCTATAAATAATTAAGTAGAAGCCAAAAGCAATTTCATTGAATACTCATATTAGTATTGGAAAAGGATCGGGCATAGAGGATACCCATAGCCAACCAAAATAGTTTGTGATTGCGGCGTTGTTATTGTTGTTACTCGTTGCCTTTGAAACAAAAGGCCCAAAGGAATGGCATTCTTGGCACTTCCTGTATTTCTTATCTTTGTATTATTAAATTTAAACTGACTGCTCCTCATAAGTTTCTTTCCCCTATGTGTTGAACACTTGAATTCTGTATGTTACTAATGTTAGAGCGTGCTTAACGAGCACTCACATTTTTCCTGTCACAGGAATTCAAGATGATTGGATCTTTTCTCACTAGAGGGCTTGTGTGAGTTTGAAAATATCCCATCATAAAGTTTGGAACATTAGTAGTCCTAGTTATATTAAAAAAGCACGAATACCCTTAGCGAAAAAGTCGTTCGCCTTTTTTATCCCTTAAAAGTAACTTTTATATCGGACAAATTAGTCATTTAATTTATTTACTGGAGTAATACTTAAAACTTTAAAATCAACTAAAAAAAAGTATTACTAGATTTTTTTCCTTATTTGAATGTAGTAAAGCCCTAATTTTGACTATCGTGTATCAAACATAATTTCCCATAAGATCTTTGTTTCTCTTTATGTAGTATTTTTGCTCCGCTTTTAATTTGAATCTATATATGCAATTTAGAATTCTCTAATCTTTTCTCTTTTTTTTTTCTTTCTAGGTAACTGAAAGCATCAACAGCATGGAGGATATAAATCGAAAACCTTAGTGCTTGAAATTTGCAGTCGATCAAACTCGTCTCAATTTGGCATGTTCAAGAACTGTAAACCTGGAAAGTAGTAAGTTGCAAAATTTCTCATGCTTTCTTGCTGCCTTTGTTTGTCTAAAAGCTTCTTTTCAATAAAGTTTCAACTTTCAAGTTTCTTGCTACTTAATATAAGTAAGTTATAATTTGTAGAGAAAGTCGTTGCTAGCATGGCTCTTTTGTTATTCTTCCTGGTCAATGTCTGGAGTACAAGACAAATTAGTTGTTTACATTAAATAAATAAAAAACTCATAAATATACTTGCAATTATTCTTGCTGGAAATTTAAAGGTGTGAGGTTAATAGTTTTTAGCAAAGGAATCTATATATTATTACAATCAATATAATTAAAACATTATTTTAGCATATATATAATATATGGAGTGTTGTTGCTATTTAGTTTTTGACTACGTAATCATCTCTGGGAGAAATTTAAATATAAAAGATATATATCTTATTGATTTTATCATAGGATACAAAAGTACATACAAAAAACTAAAATAATGTTGACGTTAGATTGTTGAG